GAAAGAAAGAAAGAAAGAAAGAAAGAAAGAAAGAAAGAAAGAAAGAAAGAAAGAAAGAAAGAAAGAAAGAAACCTGAGAGCTTTTTAAAAGAGCATGGAGTCTGTTATGGCGGGATCTCAGTGACGGGGGAAGGGTGGTCACAGATGGGTCAGAGAAGTGGCAGGAAAGGAATATGTATGGAGGCTGTTGTAGTCATAGCAGAAACTTGGGGGTTTTTTCTGAGAGAAATGAGAAGCCATTAGAGGCTTCTGAGTCAAGGAATGACTCAGGTTAGGACAGAGGGACCTGTGGTTTGGGGGCAGAGAATAGGATGTATAGGCAAAGGGTAGAAGTACTGTAACAAGCCCCAGAGGAGACTCTCCCACCAGTCCCTGAAAGAGGCCACTCATGGTGGTGCACGCCTATGATCCCAGCAATCTCAGAGGCTGAGGCAGGAGGATGGCAAGTTCAAACAGCCTGGGCAATTTACTGACTTAGCAAGATTCTGTCTCATAATAAAACAACAAAAATTAAAGGGCTGGGGATGTAGTTCAGTGCAAGGGCCCTGAGTTCAATCCCCCGTACCACAAAGATAGATAGACAGATAGATAGGTAATAGATAGATGGATGGCAGGCCCACCTTCAGACACCGAACCCCTAGCCAACAACTGACTGCCCCTCAGGCAGCACTGAGCAGGAACCAGCCAGCCAGCCGCTCCCTGTAGCCTGATCCACAGAAACTTATATCAGATAAGAAATGTTTACTGTCTTAAACTGTAAAACTCAGAGTCATTTGCGAGACTGTTAGAGAGCTAATGGCAATTGGGTTCAGGGGATTCGAGAAAGACAGGAATTGAGAAGGCCTAGCCAGGCCAGGTGGTGCTTGCCTACAATCCCAGCGCTCAGGAGGCTGAGGCAGGAGGATCACTGCAAGTTCAAGGACAGCTTGGGCTACATAGTAAGAGCCTGTCTCAAAACAACAAAAACAAGTTAGAAAGGAGGATACAGTGGAGACTAAGCAGCAGCCAGTGAGGAATAAAGCCAGAAGACAGTTGAGAGGGAGGGGCAGTGCACTGAACAAGGAGGAAGGTTCTAATGCAGATCGCCAGGCCCACAGCAGAATTCCTGACACGGTTGGTCTCTATTTCCCAGGGTTTCTGTACAAATAAGTGCAAACTGGGCCAGGGATTTAGCTCAGTGGTTTCGCTGCCTGCTGCATAAGTGCAAGGACCCGAGTTCAATCCCCAGTACTGAAAAAAAAAAAAAAATGGATAAGAATTACAAATAAGTGCAAACCCAGTGGCTTAAAATGACTCAAATGCATTCTCTCACAATTCTGGAGGCCAGACGTCTGGAATCAAAGTGTCCTCAGGGCCACCTCCTTCAATGGCTCTCAGAGAGGGGCCACCCATGCCGTTATCCCCGGGTGTCTCTACACTTGTACCGGCACTGCTCCAATCCCTGCCCCTCCCTTCATGTGGCCTTGTCCTCTGGGGTTGTCACTGCTGGGTATGTCCCCTATAAAACACATCACTGCATTGAGGGCCCACTCGGGGAATCCAGGTGGACCTCATCTTGGCTCTAACTCAGTCACATCTGCAAAGACCCTTTTTCCAAATAGTCATAGTCACAGGTTCCAGGACGTACGTGTCCCAAGCAACCTAATACATAGTACCAAACGGAGACTGAAAAACTGCTTATATTATATAGATTTTATATAATGTAAACATGTAACATAAAACATCTTATGTTGGTTATATGTTAATATTTTGTATATGCTATTGATATATTAAATATTTAATTAAAATAATTTCTGTTTCTTTCTTTTTTGCAGTACTGGGGATTAAACCCAGGGCCTTTGCACTGAGCTATATCCCTGGCTCTTCTGTAAATTTTTCCTTTGGAGAAAGGATCTTGCTAAGTCACTAAATTGGCCAGGCTGGGGTTGAACTTGGCATCCTCCTGCCTCAGCCTCCCAGAATACTGGGATTACACATGTGCATAACCATGCCCAGCTTCTTTTTATTTTTGTAACGATCAAAGGGTATTATTTGTAGTAACAAGAAAACTGGAAACAATAGCTGAATGGATGAATTGACATTTACTCAGGCTATGAAATAACACAGGATAAGAATATAAAAACTATGGCTGGGCCGGGGATTTAGCCCAGGGGTTTCCCCGCCTGCTGCGCAAGTGCAAGGACCTGAGTTTGATCCCCAGTACCAAAAAAATAATAATAAAAAAATAAAAACTATGGCTACTCACTCCATTGATACATCTCACAAACAACACTGAACAAAATAAGTCAAACACAGAAGAATATATACTGTGAGATTTCATTTATGTAGTGAAAAGTAGGCCAAATTAAACTGCAGTGTTCTAAGCCAGAAGGATGCAAGCTAGTGATTTAAAAGGCTGAAAGCGCTGATGACTCTCAAAGGAGTAAATGATGGCTTTGAGTTGGTGGCGACAGTGTCAGGTGGTGGTGGCTACATGGGTATTTGTTTTGAATAGCACATTGTGTTTTATGAGCATTATTATATGCATATGTCATCCATCACAATAAAAAGGTTAGCACAACATTAAGTACTTAAAATTATTAAAGGGAAATTTAAAAGCAGTGGTATAAATCTCAGATCTGAATTTTGACGCTGGCTAAAATACAGTGAAGAGAGTTCAATCCCCGATATCAAAAATAAAAAAAATAAAATAAAATACAGTGACGAGGATTCTATCTATAGTAGTGAGGATTATTAAAGTTGGATGCTTTAACAAACAACCCTAAAATCTTAGTGGTTTAATGCAGTAGCTTCTTACTTACATGAAGGCCAAAATGTTTGCTGGAGGAATAGCTCAGTGGTCGAGTTTTTACGTAGCATCTGCAAGGTCCTGGGTTTGAACCCCAGCACCCCAATAAAGTCTAAAATATTTTATGTAAGTTCAGGAGAAACCAGGGACCTAAGCTCCTTTTGTCTCTTGACCCTTCCATCATTGAGGCATCCACTGAATTTCAAGGCCTCCAAAAGCCAAATGACTAAAGGGAGACAGAAAGAGTAAAGTATACAGAGGACATTTTAGAGCCAAGTCTAGAAGGGGCCTAGGTCACTTCTGCACCCACTCCATTGGCCCAATACTAATTATGAGGCCTCAAACTCACTGCAAGGAGTCCTGGGAAATGTAGTCCTATGTGCCTAGGAAAGAAGCCACCTGCCCTTGGGCCTCCAATTACTCGTGCCTGCATCCCTGATGAGAGGACTAGGGGGTAGGATAGAGATCTTTGTATTAGTTTCCTATGGCTATGACAAGTTACCTCAAATTTGGTAGCTTAAAACAGAAATTGATTCCCGCCGTTTGTAAACTAGAAGTCCCAAATCAAGGGGCACCAAGGCCACAGCCCTTCCAAGCCTCTGGGCAAGAATCAGCTTTTTGACTCTTGAGCCTGGCTTATGGCTGCCCCACTCCAGTCTCTGACCCCTTCTTCACACGGTGCTGTCCTCTTCTGTCTTCTCCTCCAAGTGTCTCATAAAGACACTCGTCATGTGGCTTCAGGACCCTCCTAAATAATCCAGGATGATCTCGTCTTGTGATCTTTAATTCTATCTGTGAAAACCCCTTTTTCACCAAACAAAGTCACATTCACAAGCTCTGGGAGTCAGGGCACCGGCCTATCTTTTGGGTCATGATTTAACTCACCACAATGAGCCACAAGTATCCTTGTGGCTGGACTTAGGCTGGTGGCCTTCCAGAGAGGTAGATGAATTTGGAATGTACTTTGGAGGTACACCATAGAGAAGTCTGTCATGGCTTAGAAGCAGGAGCTGAGGAAGAAGGGGTGAAGGGTCAGGTTCAAACCAGAACTGGGACACAGCACTGTGTGGCTCAGGTCTGTGTGCTCAGGTTTGGGCCTGTATGGGGGAGAGGAGAGAGGAGACTGGGAGGTGCCTGGGTCCAGGTGGAAGAATGGAGTGCTGAATCAGCCTGCACCATGAGTAGCAGAGGAGGACTGGAGTGAAAAACAGAAGGGGCCTGGCTTTGGGACTGGCAGGGATGTGGCAGAGGTGGAGTGGGGTGAGCACAGCCCGTGGAAGGGATTGGCCCAGTGACTGAGTAGACGGTGGGGCAGCCTTGGATGTGGAAACCAGGCAAGGGAGAGACTCTGGTGGAGCCCCTGACCTCTGTGCAGAATGTGGTGAACAGTCAGCTAAGTTTTCAGAGGGCAGTTTCCCAGGGTCTGAGAGGATGGCTAGGTGCTGGGGAGCCCCCAACGCTGGAAATTTATGAGACTAGGGCCTGACAAGAAGGGGAGGACTCTGGGAAGACTGCAGAGGCTGCTGGGTGCACTGTAGCCATAAGACCACCAAGCCCCTGGCTCCTCTGAGGCCTCCTCCTCAGGGCTCTGGCAGAAGCAGGAAGTCATGCCTGAGGCTCAGCTTCTGCTCGCTGTTGGCACAGCCCAGCCATCCTTGCCACTCCAGGGACCTGCCCAGCTCTGCCTGCAGTACTTTCACTTCCCCAGGTACCCAGCCCCTGCCCCCAGCACGTGGGAACACCCGGTCTAGAACAGGGTGCTGTCTCCCCTGAAAGAGGGACCAAGATAAGAGGGTGGGGAGAGAAAGGACAGAGCCTCAGAGAGAAGCAGACAGAGAGACAGAGGGAGGAAGAACAGAGTCAGGGAGGAGGACACAGAGGAGGACAGAGACCCCCCGAGAGAGGCACAGAGAACCGGAAAGAGGGGACAGTGACCCAGGGAGGGGAAACAAGAGAAGGAGGACAGAGCTGGAGACAGAGATGGCAGAGCTTAGCAGCCATGAGGTCAGGGTGTCTGTGAGGTCAGCTGCAGTCCGGGGATGGCCCTGGGGTCCTGGTGCCCAGGGGTGGCTGCAAGTCAGTCAGGAGTCCCTGTGGGTCCTGAGCCATGGAGACCAGGGAGGGCCCACCTGCCGTGTCCTCGGTGCCCACCAATTTCAGGGCCCCACAGGTACCAGCATGTGTCCCCACAGGGCAGGTGAGGGAGTCAGGGACAGGCAGAGAAGAGTGTCACCTCGCATGAAGAGGGACGGGGTGGGGCCCCACCCCTGGGACTTCCTCTTTCTCTGTGTTCTTCCTTTCTGCCTCCTCTCGGCCTCTTTCTCTCTCCTTCCTGGCCTCTGTCCTTCCGTCCATCAGCCCCGCTGCCGACCTCCCTTCTGTCCGTCCCTCCAGCTGGTCATCCCCCCATCTAGGCCACGATGTCGGCCCAGGAGAGCTGCCTCAGCCTCATCAAGTACTTCCTCTTCGTGTTCAACCTCTTCTTCTTCGTGAGTTGCCCCGTGGTTCCCCAGCCCCAGCCGCAGCCCCCAGACCACAGCTCTGCCCCCCTAGTTGGTCACCACATTGTCATCTCCTCCCCTAGGCCCTTGGCAGCCTGATTTTCTGCTTCGGCATCTGGATTCTCATCGACAAGACCAGCTTCGTGTCCTTTGTGGGTGAGGGGGGCTGGGATAGTCTGGGAGGGCCTTCCTGGGGCAGATCTGGACCTAGCCTCTCCCCTTGTGACTTTCTGGTGTCTCCCTTGTCCTGGGGAGATCCACGGAGCCCAACTCCCCAGGCAGGTCCCCGGCTCCCAGCAACCACTCCCCACTGTGGCTGGGCCTTTTGGAGCCCATGGCCTTCCACGGGCAAATGGGGTTGTGCATACCAACAATAACAGCAGGGAGAGTGGCAGTGATAGCCATTTCTCAAGCATTTCCTGTGTCGGACTCGGACTGGTGCTCATCAGACTCTCCTACCAACCTTCCCCTCTTTTGAGGTTCAGAGAGGGGAAGTCCCTTGCTGGGTGCCACACAGAAAGGAAAGAGAGGAACAGAAATAACATTGAAACAATAAGGAAAATAATAATGGAGTAATCATCAAAGTCCTAATAGCTCATAAGTAGTATTTGCTTTGCACTGAGGGCTGGGTTGAGCACATGCTCTCACATGTCCCTCAAAACAACCATAAGGCCAGGAACCATGGTGCAAACCTGTAGTCCCTGTTACTCTGCAGCCTGAGGAGGAGGATCGCTTGGGCCCAGGGCTTTGAGATCAACCAGCCTGGATACAAAAAAAAGAAAGAAAAGAAAACAAACAAACAAAACCAACTAGGAAATGGATAACACTATGTCCTCAGCTTCAGAGAAGTCTAAGTGACAGGGCCAGGGTCACAGAACAAGTGATGGGGTTGAGGGGCTGCAGGAAAAAGAGAGGGACAGAGATCCAGAGAGGGGCAAAGGGGGTGAGAGACAGGAGAATTCTCAGGAGATAAACAGAGACTCGGGGTGGGACAAGGACAGAGTCCCTGGGACATCGGGAGTCCAGCCAGACTTCCACCCGCCCCAGGATGCTGCTCCCGACTTGGGGGCTGCCTGGGTGGGGCCTGGTGGGCAGAGCTCATGGCCTCTCGCCCTACCCCCCAGGCTTGTCCTTCGTGCCCCTGCAGACCTGGTCCAAGATCCTGGCAATCTCAGGGGTTCTCACCATGGGCCTCGCTCTCCTGGGTTGTGTGGGAGCCCTCAAGGAACTCCGAAGCCTTCTGGGTATGGTGAGTGCCCCACCCCTATCCCTAGAGCCACTCCCCAGCCTCAAGAGTCCCCTGGGGAGGGGTCAGCCTGACCTCTCCCCTCTGCTCCAGTATTTCGGGATGCTGCTGCTCCTGTTTGCCACGGAGATCACCCTGGGCATCCTCATCTCCACCCAGCGGGTCCGGGTGAGCTTACTGCTGCCACCAGCCACTCCTGGCAGCTAAGGGGTTTCAGGTGGAGGTTAGGGGAGCAGGTGCAGAGCAAGGGAAACAAAGCTGATAGGAATCAGAGAGAGACACAAGCACACAGGGAGATCCCAAGGAAAGCTGTGAGTGGTGGCATTCACAGTCCCAGCTACTAGGGAGACTGAGTCGGGAGGATGGATCGAGTCCAGGAGGTTAAGGCAGGTCTGGGCAGCAAAGAGAAAAGAGGGAGTGGGGTGGAAGCCCCTGGAGAAGCAATAGAGACCTAATGACCCCTAGAAATAGGACTGAGGTCTAAGAAAGAGAAAAACTAGTCGATCAAGGAGAACCGGAAGCCACCACAAGGATGCACCCGGGGACCCGTGGGGCTGAAAGCTCCGGGGGTGGATGGAGGGGCGGGGCAGATGGGGTGCAGCCTCACTCACCACCTCTCAGCTGGAGCGAAGGGTGAAGGAGCTCGTGCTGAGCACCATCCAAAACTACGGCTCCAACCCGGAGGAGACAGCGGCCGAGGAGAGCTGGGACTACGCCCAGTTCCAGGTTCGTGGCCCCGTCGCGCCTCCTCTTCCTCCGGGACTCTGGCTTGGCACTGCTCAGCTTGGACTCCAAGGAGGCTCCCCCCGGACGTGGCCCGTTCTCCAGCTCCGGGTCCCTCTCGAACCCCCCACTCCCTCCGGGTACCCAGATGCTGGCGTGGCTCCGCCCCCTACTTCAGGACTCCGCCTCTGCTCCCTGGCTTGACCTCAAACCGGTCACTTGGTCCCCCATTCCCAACGTCATCTGGCATCACCGCGAGCCCGACCCCTCACTCGCATCCCTCCCTCAGCTGCGCTGCTGCGGCTGGCACTCTCCGCAGGACTGGTTCCAGGTCCTCATCCTGAGAGGCAACGCGTCAGAGGCGGACCGCGTGCCCTGCTCCTGCTACAACTCGTCGGCGACCAACGACTCCGCAATCTTTGATAAGATCTACTCACCGCAGCCCGGCCGGCTCGGACCTCGGGCGAGGCCCAGGCACAGCACAGACCTGTGCTCCGTGCCCGCAAATGGCCACATCTACAGCGAGGTAGCTGAGGGTTTGGGGCCTGAGCTGCTCCAAGGGGAGGTGGCCTTTGCCAGGGGGCGTGGTCCGGTTGTGGGCGTGGTCCGGAGAGGCGTGGCTACAAGGGGATCTGTCCAACTAAGGGGAGAGAGCAACGCGAGGGGGCGGAGCCTTACAAAGGGACAGGGTGTGTAAGAAGGGCGGTCCCAGGTACACTGCTGTCTAGAGGGTCAAAGCTTGGAAGAGCTGAAGTGGATGCACAGACCTGAGACTAGGGAACCCCGGTAACTGGAAGAGAGGGTCGGTGCTTGAAAGAGAAAGGAGAACGAGGCAGAGAAGGACGCTGGAACTGGGCTTGAGGACGAATCCTGAAAGCAACGCCACTTTTAACTTTCTCCTGCAACGCCAGGGCTGCGCGAAAAGCCTCCGGACGTGGCTGCACAACAATCTCATCTCCATAGTGGGCATTTGTCTGGGCGTCGGTCTACTCGAGGTGATTTGGCCCCGCTCCCACTCGCGATTGGTCCCAGTCAGCAGATGGTCCCGCCCTCAAGCCCGGAGGACGCATGCGTAACGGAGCACCTGCCCCTTTTGGTCCTGTGGCCCTGGCTTTGGGGACAGGAGGGGCGGAGACCTAACTTCTGTGAGCTCTGATTGGCTATAAACAGGGAGACACTCCCCCTGTGATTGGCCGCCATATCCCTCCTCGCTTTCCTCGCAGGTGAGTCTGATGGTTCTGAGCCTGCAGCTGCACTGCACAGCTCTTCGCCGGGAACCGGAGGCACGAGTCCTGGGCCCCGCGCCCGGCCGCAAGGGGCAGCCGAGGCTCGGCGGGGGTCTACCACACCTGGGGAGACAGGGCGCCGCTGGGCATGGTCCCTAGGGCCCTGGCCGCTATGGGATCGAGTCTAGGAGCAGCCGGATACCCGGAGTGCGGAGGCGGAGACAAATGAAGCCCCAGAATAAAGGCCTCTGGGCTTGCTTCCGACTTCACGCCTTACCCTCGACGGGGTCCGCACTCAACCCCGTGATCTCCCTCCCTGCCCTGTCATTACTCAGCCTGCTGGTCTCTGGCTCGCTTCTCCCAGTTCTCCCTCTAGTCCGCCTTTCTTTTTTCTTTCTCCCAGTACTAGACTGAACTCAGGGCCTTCGCACTGATTTACATCCCCAATGCACTTTTTTTTTTTTTTTTTGTAAACTTTAAGACAGGGTCTCACGAAGTTGCTAAAATGCCCAGGCTGGGCTTGAACTTGGAATCCTCCTGCCTCAACCTCCCAGAGTGCTGGGATTACAGGCCTGTGCCACCACTCCCGATTCCTACCCACTTCTTTAGTAGTTCTAGGAGCCCTCTTTCCTCCCCCTGGACCCCTTACCCTGATTTTTCTCCCTCGAGGTCCCATGAGACCCCTGTCGCTAGCACTCTTTCACCATCTCTGATCACCATCTCCTTTCTCCGTAGCTCGGCTTCATGACGCTCTCGATATTCATGTGCAGAAACCTGGAATACGTCTATGACCGACTTGCTCGATACCGCTAAGCCCGACTCCACCCCTTCAAGTGCCACGGGCACTTCCCCAGGACTGTAAATATTTGTTTCATCCAGTTTGCCCGGGCTTTGAGCAGCCCCTCATTCCCCTGAGGCCCCAGGTGTCTGCCTGCCCAGCCCCCCCCCATTTCCCCCGAGGGACCTGGGGCTTCCTGCCCCACACATATCTGATGGGCAACCACCTCCCACAAGATTATTTTTGGCCCAAACCTCAAATAAATCCCCTATATTTTGGTAAAATAACTTTATCCTCTGTCAGAACACAAACCAACACGCTTTGGGAGGGAAAGGGAGGCAGCAGTCCAGTCCGGGGCTCACATACAAGGAGGGGGGGTGGGATTCAAAGGCCTCACCCCACTGCTCGCCCCACTGGGATAGAGTCACAACCCTAACACCCACGTATAAATATCTCGTTATATTAAAAAAAAATATTTCCAGGGCCTACCTGGCTCTGCTCCTGCACAGGAAGGGTTTTCATTTTGTGACATCACAGATCACAAAGAGGGGTGGTAGGAAGAGGCAGATATTGGGGGGCAGGAAATGGGACAAGTCAATGTGTAATTAGGGCCCCCCAAAATATCCAGAAGAGTGGGGGGACCTGGGTGTTGTTCACTCCTGTCCCCATCCCTGATGTGCTGCCAGCCTCCCTTCTTGCTAGGGGACAGTCCCTGTCCTCAGGTCTCTGAGGTCAGCCCCTTTCCACCACAGCCCCCGCCCCAGATGAGAAGCACAGGGAGCTGGAGGGTCCTCCTGTGAGGAGGATGTTCCGGGGACAGGCCAGTTGTTGGGTTGCCCTTCAGTCCCTGACCAGGCGGTAAATATGGTGCTGGGCCCCACGCTCACTGGTGGAGACCTCGAAGACGTAGGCGGTGCACAGCAGCAGTTCCTGGGTGTCTCTGTTCGTCACCACCTGCAGGGAAGCCAGGAGAACGCTTCGCTTGGACTGCTGCCCCTGCCAGGCAACCAGGGGGCCCCAGGAGCCCTCTCTGCCACCTCCCAAGGACAGTGCCCACCACATTAGAGGGCACCTATGCTAAGGGGCACCTGTGGGTTCCCCAGTGCCCTCTTTCCTGGCTAAAAGAGCCCACTGCGCACCAGTCCCCTGGATGAGGGGGCCCCAGCCCGTGGTCACCTGCAGGATGGTGAAGTTCTCCAGGACGCTGTTCATCATGTAGCGCTCGGGCAGCTGCCGAAGCTTGTGCAGGAAATTCACCAGGTACTCGCACATGGGCGAACGCAGCAGGCGATACACGAACCGCCCATCCTCTAGCTGGGCCCGCTCCGTCTGAACCAAGGGCAGGGAGGGGGGCAGCAGCTCAGAGGCACACGGGTCACCCCAGGAACCAGGACACTCCTCAGGTGTCCAACTCAGGATGTCTGGACCTGTAAGCTCCAGCCCCTCAAAGCAATGTTCTACCCTGAGACCCTTCAAGTCCCCAGAAACCCTAAGTGTAACTTGTGAGCCTCTTTGTCCTGTGAACTGCTTTATAGCCACAGCAGCCTTTTGCATCTTAGTAACTAAATCTCAACACCTTTCCCTTTTGGTTTTTTTATTTGTTTGTTTTGTTTTGTTTCCCTTTTGGTTTTTGAGATGGGGTCTTTCTATGTAGTTCAGGCTGGCCTTGAACTCACTATGGAGTCCAGCCTGCCCTTGAACTTGTGGGGATTCTCCTGCCTCAGCCTCCAGAGTGCTGGGATTACAGACATGAGCCACCTTGCCCAGTTTAATCTCTTCACCTTTCAACTCTCAAAACGGCCCCCTCTGACTTTTGAACTCTGCAATTCCCCCAAGCCCATGCACTAAACCCCAAGACAGGCTGAGACCCTCCCACCAGGTGTACCCCAAATGCCTGCACCATCATGGCTTCTGGTCCCTGGCCCCCAGCCTCACCTCCACCTTCTCCACCACCTGCTTGCCGAAGGAGCAGACTTTGGAGGAGCAGGTGAGGGTCATGTGCTCCAGACTCTCGTACTGGCTGCTCACTCCATAGAAGCCACCGCTGCCAGTGCTGCCACCACCAGCACCTGCCTCCTCACCGCTTGGGCCCCAGTTCAGGTCAGCCTGGGAGGTAGGGAGCACAGGATGGGTAGAGGGGACATTGTCAGAAACTCCGCCCAGGGCCAGGGATTTAGCTCAGTGGCAGTGCGCCTGCCTTGCAATCATAAGGTCCTGAGTTCAGTCCCAGGTACTGAGGAAAAAAAGAAACTGCCCAGAGCCTGCTTCCTCCCACTGCAATGGCAGCTGCCCTTTCTCAACTTTCAAAGTTCCCATCTCTCCAGGAGCTGTTTTTGGATAAGACCCACCCTTCCCATCAGTGTGGATAGGTCTGGGCTCTCAAAAAAGGTCCTGACCCTCTGTCCCTAGTAACCAAGGGGATCTGGAAATCAACTTCTTCCCCTTGAAGTTCCCAACTTCAGTTCAGCATCTCCCAAGGCCTGGTTACTAAGGACATAGTTACCTCTAGCAATCAGCGAAGGCCTAATCACATCCTGTTGGGACCCTGACTGCTAAAGCAACAGGCAGGACTCTGCTCAGAGCACCCTCTCCATGCTCACCCTTTCAACTGATGCTCGGAGTTGAGACACCTCCATTGCCCAGGGGACAAGTGCACAGACAGTTGGCCTTAGCCATTAGAGCAAGTGAGGCCGATGCAGCCTAAGACCAAATCACGTCTTGGGTCTGAGCCACCTCATCCTGGCTGCTGTCACACCCTTCAGAGGCCTGAACATACAGGAGCCAGGTCTCCTGAGGGGGTGGTATCCAGACCTGAGAGCTGGGGAGCCTGGCTTAAGCCCTAACCATGCCCAAGACCTGGGCAGTACATGCCCAGAGCCATCTCAGGCCACTATTTCATAGGCCAGGAAGCTTTACAACCATGGTCTTTCATGCCCAGCAAGACCAGTGCCGTTCAGGCCCCACACTGGTTACCATAGGAATTCAAACCCCTGAACACTCACTCAACACTGGTTGAGTCCCTATAGCATCTACGACTGTTCTGGACCCCAAAACAAACAGGCTCAAGAAAAACCTAAAGTCGGGTGTGAGGGCACACACCTGTGAGCCAGCTGGCTGTGGAAATAGCAGGACCTGTAAATTTCAGGGTCCCAGGGTAGGGCCAGATAACTCTTAGGGCCCCTTATGTAGAGCTTCTCACCGAGTTCCCACAAGAGGTGGAAAGCATAAAAGAGACAAGATGCCATGAGGAGCTCGCTATCATGACTCGCTATAGCCCACCCTGTGTCTCCTAGACCAGGATGTATTTCTGTTGTTACTTTTTTTATCCTTTTCTCTCTGTTTGGCCTAAGTTTGCTCTGCAGAAGTAGTTCTTTCCTTACCTCTTCACCTCTCATTTTCAAATAAACTTTTGGCACTGTTTTTGGCTTGTCTCATCCAATTCTTTGTTCGAGACAAGAAGGACCTGGAATACTTTTGTTTGGTGAGCCATTTCTAAAGGAACTACCCAACAACACCAGCACTCAGGAGGCTGAGGCAGGAGGATGGCCATGAGTTCAAAGCCAGCCTAGGCTACACAGTGAATTCAAGGCCAGCCTGAAATAGTGAGACCCCATCACGGAAAGAAAAACTTACGTGGGAAATGGACCCACTCTGTCACAATTATATACCATTGTCCCTCAGTACTGGTACCAGGATTCCCTGTGGTACCAAGATCTATAGGTGCTCAAGTCCCTTGTATAAAATGGCATAGTATTTGCATAGAACCTGCACACATCCTCCTGTATACTTTTTGAAGTTTTTTTGTTCTGTTTTGTTTTTTGAGACAGGGTCTTGCAATGTCGTTCAGGCTGATCTTGAACTATGTAGCCTAGGCTGGCCTCGAACTCACAGTGATCCTATCTTGGCCACCCAAGTGCTTGGAATTACAAGCATAAGCCACCACACCTGGGCCTCTTGTATACTTTAAGTCATCTCTAGATGCCTTATGACACCAAATACAATGTAAATGCTATATAAATAGTTGTTATACTGTATTGTTCAGGGGATAAAGACAAGAAAAAAATTTGTAACATGTTCAATACAGATGCAGCCATTGTGGACCGAACCATATTCTCCATCTGCAGTTGGCTGAATCTGCGATGTGAAATCCACAGATACCAAACAGCTAAACAGCACCTGGTATCAGGCCTGTGTATGATAAATGCTCAAGGAATGTCAAATACAGGTCTCTGCAAAGCCAGCTCTTTCAATCACTTCAGGGTCAGACATTGGTGGGAAGTTAACAAAGCCCCAGTCCCCTCTTTAGAGGCTAGAACCACCAGGCCTGGTGGCAGATGCCTATATTCCCAGCATTCTGGGAGGCTGAGGTAGGAGGATCACAGGTTCAAGCCAGCCAGGGCAACTTAGCAAGTTAGCAAGAACCTGTCTCAAAATTTAAAAAAAAAAAAAAAGGCCTGGGGATGTAGCTCAGTGCAGAGGCTCTGGGTTCAATCACCAGCACCAAAAACAGGCGGTGGCACGGGGGGGGGGGGGGGGGGGGGGGGGGGACGGGACACGGACTCAACGACACTGACCCTTAGCAACAAGACTAGATGTGGTCAGGCAAGGCCTGTAGAAGCCTGAAACGCGGCAAGCCAATCCCAGGGTCACATGACTATGGTGGCAAAGTCTAGTGGGCTCTGGGACACCCAGTACCTCCGTCCTGGATAACCTGGGGGCCAGATCCTCTATGTTCCTTCTTGCAAAGGGGCTCGGAGCCATGAGGCCTGACAGTTAAGCCCAGGCTGCCCTGGTAGTCCTGAGACCAAATCCCTTACAGCCAGTCGCTTAGCTGGGATTTCACACGGCTTATGAGCACTTTCAGTTTCGCTGCCAGAACTTACCCAGAACTTGACCAGGAAAAAGGCATGGGGGGGCCCGCGATCATACAGCTCCCGAAGACCACCCTTTTTCTCGGGAAATTTGTCGTAGATCTGCCGGACGTCCACGCTCTCCAGCGGGGGTGCGCCAGGGCTGGGACAGTGCTGGCTGATGTGGACGAACAGGTGCCTCTGGTACTGAGGAGGGCCAGCCACATGAGGAGGGGGCGGCTGGATGCCAACCCTCCCTGTGGGTGCCCGCCCCACACTGGCACTGTCCTCACAGTGGCAGCTAGCTGTCCCACACTGTCCAACAGTGCTGGGCCAGGCCCCGCACCACCCCACTCGCTGTCCCCCACTCCCACACCCACTTGGTCCCTGACTCTAGCCCCATCCCCTCTTCTCGGTCCCCACTGCTCCAGCCTTGGGCCTCATCCTCTCCCACCCTCAGCCTCCAGCTGTCTGTGGCCCTCTGTGACTCACACTCCTCCCACGGCTCCCCAGTGCCCACAGTCAAGCCCCACACCTGTTCAACCTGGCCCTGGATGGAAGAGGTGATGGGAAATGTTCAGTGAGAGGATGAATGGGAATCTACTGAGCCCACATGCGAGACTGTCTTTCTGCCCCCATTCCCATGATTTCTCTCGACTTTCTCCAAATCCTGAAAATCCTCCCCAACTTTTCCTCCAATACTAATCTTCTCTTCATCTTTCCAGCCCCAAATTCATCCAAATCCTGGAGGCCTCTCTTGATGGTGATCAATAGAATCGCTCTACTCACATCCTTTCCCTGGTTCCTCAGCCGCCTTAGGAAAAGTCTGCATTCTTCAGCTTGATGATGCCAGCTCCCCCTGAACCAGCATCTGCCTCACCACTTCTACTGTTTGTTTTCCTTAAAATTCTATGCTCTGCCCACCTCTATTCCTAGAACATCCAATCCTGCACATGACGAACCCCTACACAGCCCTCAAAGCCCAACTCAAAGATTGTCGTCTCAGGGAAGCCTTCCTTGATTGCCCAGGGTGAATTACTCCTCTGCGCATGCACAAAAACTTGACCTTCCCCATCCCTGCAGTGCTCATTATCCAACCATGCACTTAGAGGCCTGCTGTGTGTAGGTGCAAGGAGCTCTCAAAGGCTACAAGACAAAGTCCCTGACCTCATGGACTTCACAGTCTACTGGCACAGAAAGAAAACTGAAAGATCAATGGTGGATAATGTAAACTTCAGAGGGTGATGTACGCCGTGACAAAGATCACAGTAAAGTATAGTAAAAGGCACCTGACATTTGCATATTAAAGAGAATAACTGAGTAAAGCCCTGAATGAATTCGGAGAGTGAGTCACAGCAGGATCCAGCCAGCACACATTCCAGGCAGCAGAATGTCAGGTGCAAGAGCCCTGAGGAAGGAGTGGGCCTGGTGTGTTTGAGAAAGAGCAAGGAGGCTGTGCCGTTCAAATAGTGAGCAGAGAAAGAGGCAGGAATGGGGGTCAGCCTGTGCAGATCTTACTGAGCAAATGAAAGGATTCTAGCTTGTGCCACAAGTGGGAAGGCTTTAACCTAATCCAACTTGAGTTTTACAGCAATTAGTGATTTGATTGATATTTATATGCACAGCACAGAGCCAGGTCCTTTACAGTGCTAAACTACAATTCCCAGGCTCCTTTGCAATTAGAACTTAGACCACATGACTCAGTTCTGGCCAATGGGAGGTGAGCAGACCAGCCAGTTCCCACTTTCAAACCAGACGCGTAAAACCTCCTGTACAATTTTGCCTCTTTCCTCCATCTGCTGGCCAGATGTAAAGAATCTAGCAGCAGATTCCCAAGCCCTAGAGAACAGTGAACCACAAAATGGAAGGAGCCTGGAGCCCAGAATCACTACGTGGAAGGCTCCTGCGGAACACCCACACTGACATGTTATGTGATCAAGAAGCTTCTTTTCAGTTCCTGAGGTTGACAGCTGTTTCTTCTAACAGCCTTTCCAACTGGTACAGCAAGCTTCACCATCCTAGCCCAGGAGAAGCCCGAGCCCAGGAATAAGATCTGCTTTCCCAGATTCCTAGTGAGCATCACAAAGCCTATCAGACGGGGAACTCAAATGTGTTTGATGAATGAACAAGTGAACAATGTCCTGGGGAGTTTCCCTGATCTTCCCAACCTGTGATCCCACGACCTTCCAGTTCCTTGATGCTAGTGGTACTCAAAGTGTGGTTCAACGAGCAGCTACATCAACAACAACTGGGAGCGATGGAATGTGAATTCTCAACCCCGACCCCGCCCCCAGCAGATCTAATGAATCTGAAATTCTGGGAATGGGGCCAGCAGTCAATATTAACAAGGCCTGCAGATGATTTCTACACCTTCCCCGTTACCTTCTACCTTCCAAAGAGCTCCTGAATTTTCACTCACAGAGTCAACTGCATCTGGCGGTTCCACAAAGGCTGAGAATTCCACCAGCTGCAAACGGGCAGTGCCCAGGGCCCGACTCTGCCACGCTGGCGGTGATGGGGCAGGTGGGGGCAGGGGAGAGAGGGCTTGGGGGGGCTCGTACCCTAGAGGGGAGAAAGAACAATAAAAATTGCTAACATTTACTGACTGCACTAGGCACTGTTCTCTCTTGCCTGCCTCCACTTGGAAGCTGAAAAAGCTAAATACTCACTTTCCCAGCCTCCCATGCAGCTAGAGGTGGCCATGTGACACAGTCCTGGCCAATGAGACGTTAGGGAAAATCTGCTGGGGGGCTTCTGGGAAGGAGTTTCTTCCTGAATGAAAAAGACAGAACTTTGGGAGGAGAAAGCTTTTGGCCCTGGCCAAGTCCTGATTAGGACATGATGCCTGGAGTCACAGCAGCCATTCTGGCACAATAAGATAGAGGCTAGAGGAACTGCAGAGATGCAAGTCCTGATATTGCTGAGCTTCTGGGCCAGTTCAAGAGCAACCCACCTCCTCCAGACTTTGTGTTATGTCGCACCATTAAGGCCTATTTAAGGCACTATTAATTTGAGTGTTCTGTTACTTGCATCCTGAGGTATTCCTTACTGATGAATCTGTGGAACCTGACAGAGCTAGAGGCTTATTCTTTCACCAGTCAATCTGAGCATTCATGGTCATCTGAGCATGACCCTCTGGAAACCATCTCAGCTGCCAGGGGGCAGTGAAACCACCACAGAGGAAAGCAAATGGAAACAAGTCCCAGTGCTTCTACTGGGACCCTGGATCCAGCCATGGCTGAAGCTGTAACTCTGGACTATCAGTTAAACTAAGAAATTCGTTTTCCCCCCTTCAGCAAGCTAGATTTGGGTTTCTATCACTTGTGGCTGAAAGACTCTTGACTAAGCCACTTCCCCAATGTCTCATAAGCTAGCAAATGGCAGAACACAAACCCAGGATGTGTGGCTACGGAAGCCCTGCTCTTTACCACCGCAAAGGCTCACACACACCCTGCCCCAGCACAGCCTGCCTCAGGAAGATGAGTCCTCTGACTAATGGGAGGGGAAAGAAAGGCAGCAGGGCCACAGAGAGATGGGAGGCGAGCAGGGGCGCTGAGCAGGCCCTTACCTGGGAGGTCAGTAGATGGGGGTGTCAGTGACAAGGAGAACTGTGTCTGTGAGAATGGCTTCACACTGCGGGAGGAAGGAAGCCAAGGTCAGCAGGGTGAACAGTACCAAGGTCCCTGGAGGCTGGGACAAGCCTGACCATGTGCTGCGACATCACATGCACAATGCATCTCAATGAGGTGCAATTGCTGTGCTTCTCATTTTACACATGAGGAAACTAAGGCACAGAGGGGTCAGCTAATCTACCCAAAGTCACACAGCTGGCATGCAGTGAAGCCTGGACTCAAAACCAGGTCAGTCCCAATCATGAAGCCCATGGTTTGTTTTTGTTTTTGTTTTTGCAGTACTTGGGATTGAACCCAATTCCTTTGCGTTGAGCTGCCTCCCCAGCCCCAATTTTTTATTTTTTATCTTGAAACAGGGTCTTGCTAAGTTGCCCATGCTGGGATGGAATTTGAGATCCTCCTGCCTCAGCCTCCCAGAGAGCCTGGATTATAGGCATACAATAACGGCATTTTGATGCCTCTCAAAAAATGGCAGAAGGAAAAGTGAAAGCAAGTCTGGAGAGGTGCAGAGAAGACACAGAAGATGGGGAATTTAGAGGCAGCAGAGGCTAAAGGGTCAGTGGGATTGGAAGAAAATGACCAGCAGTCACAAGCTGGAACAGCAGATAAAGGTAGGGGTGGGGAGAATGTCCTCCCTGTCCCACCTCTGCACTTTCCAACCTGGTAGCCACTGGCCACACATAGCTTCTGAGCACTAGGAACTGGATTTGACATTTTATTCAATTTTAACTAATTTTAATAAAAATAGCTACTTGTGGGCCAGGGGTTTAGCTCAGTCCGCCTCCTGCCTCGCAAGCACAAGGTCCCTAGTTCAATCCCCACTACCAAAAAAAAAAAAAAAAAAGCTATTTGTGGCTAATGGCTAACACAGCTACAGAGGTCTAGGGGTAGCATGGGAGATGGCAGCAAGACTCCAGTCAGAAGTGAGGAAAGAGCTCAAGGACACACTCCAGGAAGCTCCAGATCCTGATTTCCAAGGACTGCCCCAGTCCTTGTCATCTCAATTCCGAAATCTAAACTCCAAGATTCTGTTTGGTGACACAATCATTTGTCATCAGGGCCATCAGTCAAATGCCACCTCCCCAAAAAGGTCTTTTGTGACCTGTGTCTAAAACAGAGTTCTTGAGCGTGGCAGTGCACACCTGTAATCCCAGCACTTGAGAGGCTGAGGCAGGAGGATTAAGTGGGTTCAAGGTCAGCCTGCGTTGCACAGTGAGTTGAAGGCCAGGCTGAACTACATAGGAAGATCATCTCAAAAATAAATAAATAAATAATAAATAAATAAAATAGAGCTCTTAGGTCTGGCATAGCACTCACCCAGCATGCACAAAGCCTAGAGTTGCATCCCCAGCACCACGAAAATAAGGCATAATAAAACAAAGTTTAACTGGATGTGATGGTGCCTGCTTATAATCCCAGCACTCTGGGAGACTGTGGTAGGAGGACTATAAGTTCAAACCCAGTTCAACTTAGTGAGTTAGGGAGACCCTGTCTCAAAATAAAATTTTAAAAGGCTGGGGGTGTACCTCAGTGTGAAGGCTCTGGGTTCAAGCCCTCACATACCTTGCTTTATTTCTCATGTTTACTCCTTTCCTTATGAATTTTTTGTTTACATGGGTGCCATCTGTCTCCTCCCCTCCCCTAGTATGTACAGCTCCATGAAGTCAGGGATTCTGTCTACATACATTGTTCATGCCATGTCCTCAAACTGAGCACAGTACCAGGCCGTTAGCAGGTGCTCAATAGATATCTGACTGGCCAGCTGCTTTGTACTGTCAATTCTTTGACTCCAACTCCCGGAACCTCCCAAGCTTTCCCACCTCAAGGCCTTGTCACATGCTATTTTCTCAGCTCTAGCCCCCATCCCATTCTTTACCTGGCTAAATCCTACTCAGCCTTCAATGCTACCTCTTCAAAGAAACCCTAGAACCCTGGAACCCTTGCTGTGGTTCTTCACGCTTTACTTCTCACTCTTCAACCTGTTTATGCAGGTGATGATTTCATTAATATCTACCTCCCCCATCTGATACATCCTGTCACCCTTAGGTGACAGAGCTGAGAAGGGCCCTCTCATGAACCTGAGGCCCATTTTCTTCCCAGTCAGAAAGATAACTCTTTCTTCCAAGCTTGATATCAAAGGGATGAAAATGAGCCTTGCCATGAGCCTCTGGGGCTCCCTCCCCTCTCCCAGGGGCCTCTGGTCTTACAACTGCCTTCCCATGAGCGTCTGGAGCCCAACAGTCCCAGCAGGGGGGCATTATTCCTGTGGACAACCTTTGGGACCTTCTCATGCTGAGCTCTAAGTTCCATGCTGAGCTCATTACTCCCCAAAGCTGCTCCTCTTGTAGGCTGCACATCTCCAAATGGGCCCAACTTCAGTTCCCAGGAGAGCCTAGGATCTGTCCTTCCCCAACATGCCCTCCCCTTGTAGTCCTAGCCTAATTACTGTACATGTTATTTATTCCAGTAATAACCCTGTGAAAAAGGTAGTCTTGCCCAGCTGTGGTGGCACACACCCGTAATCTCAGCACTTGGAATGCTAAAACAGGAATATCTCAGCAAGTTTAAAGAAGGAGGAGGAGGAAGAAAGGAAGGAGGAGGCGGAGGAGGAGGAGAAGGAAGGGGAAGAAGGGGAGGAGGAGGAGGAGGAGGAGGAGGAAGACAAGGAACAAGGGGAAGAAGAAAGGTAGTCTTATCATCCCCATTTTAGAGATGAGAAAACTGAGGCTATACAGGGCAGGGCTAGGATTCAAATCCAGATAGCCTGGCTAAATCCATGTTCAAAAGACATTGGGGTGAGCCAGGGATTTAGCTCAGTGGTTTGGCGCCTGCTGCGCAAGTGCAAGGACCTGAGTTTGATCCCCGGAACCAAAAAAAAAAAAAGACATTGGGAGCTGGAAGGTGGGGTAAGAAAAGTGGACAACTGGAGAGCAAATGTTGAGCTGAGACACAATGTACTCACTCTGGCACATTCCAGGGGGGCCCAGAGCCCCCTGACCAAAACTGGAACAGCTCAGTGGCCTAGAGAGGAGACAAAGAAATGGGGATTAGTTGGCCCCTGTTGGCAGCTGCAGCCCCATCCTTCCAGCCCCAAACCCCACAATCCCCAGGCACCTGAGGACCAGCAGGACCCAGTTTGGCCTGCAAGGAAGGTGCGGAGATGAGCTGAGCGGATGACATGGTAGCCATCGTCTGGAAAGCCTTGTCCTTGGAAACCTGGTCCTGGGGGAGTTGGAGATCCATGTGAACAGGGCATCCCAGTCAGTACTGCAAGGGTGGGACCACGAGTGGGTGGAGCAAGGATGGGGAGAGGCAGACTTGGAGAGTCCAGGCAAAGGATGGGCAGAGGATGGCACGCCCTCTCCCTACAGCCCTCTGCCCCTCCTGGTCTCCTAAGGGAGGGGGCAGCCGTCTGGGGTCAGAGTGGGTGGGAGGAGGGGCAGGGGGACTTACCACATTCAGGGCCTGCCAGAGGGGGTGGGGAAAGGTGCCAAGGAAGGAAAGAAAACATGACTTAGGAAGCGAAGGCTGGACTCCCTGACTTCCCTGCCCTACCGGTCTGCAGGGCCCACCACCCTGAGCTTAGCAAAGGGGCTAAACGGGGAGCGAGGGGTGCATAAGAACAGAACAGAGGTGGCCGCAGCTAGAGCAGAAAGGGTTTTCAAGCCCAAATAAAAGACAGTAGTGCAAATTTCTAGGTCAAGAAAGGGCCAGAAGTAGAGGTTTCCAGATGCCCAGGCAACAGGAAATGAGAATTTCAGACCTCAGGGGAATAGGAGGTGAATGTTTCCTAATCCAGACAAAACAGAAGGGAACAGAAAAGATACAGAGAAGACCGGAAGTGAAGGCTTTTAGACCTAGAGAGGAAGGAAGGAAAGCTTCCAGGCACAAATAAAGAACAGGAAGCAATTATCCCCAAGTCCTAAAGAGGAGGCAGAAAAGACCTCACATCTAAAGGGGTAGAAAATGAGGGTCTCGGCCCAAGAAGGAACAAGAAATCCAGAGGATAAAGAAAAGAAAAGGAGTATGAAAATCTTCAACAGGAAATGAGGATTTCTGAGTACAAAAACAGTAGGCAGGTCACATGGGGGGCTAGGAAATGGGACAATGAAAGAAGGAAGATGGGGGAGGGGTCCCAGAGCACACGAGGGAAAAAGAGATGAGACCACTGAGAAGGGACAGGAGCAGAGGAAAGGGAGGGGGACGAGGACGAGGACAGCAGCTTGACAACCCTTCCTCACCTGTCCTGACCCAGTCTCTATCTTAGCTCTCTCCCCACGCAGGGTCTCAGCACCCCACCCCCAGATCCTCTGGGTCAGTCCTCATCTCTGCGTCTTGGACACTCAGTTTTCCGGGTCTCTGTTCTCCACTCTGAGGTCTCCTTCCACTCTCTCTAGGTCTCTCTCTCTCTCTCTCTCTCTCTCTCTCTCTCTCTCTCTCTCTCTCTCTCTCTGTCTCTCTGTCTCTCTTTCTCATCTCTGTGCTCCTCTCTCTGGGTCTCTGTCTGCTTTGGTCCTTACCTTCAGCTTGGACTGGATTTCTCTCGATTTCCTCCGAGCCAAAACCTGGATGTGACTAGAGACCTGCAGGGGCAGATAGAGAAGCAAGTTGGAGCCACAGCCATCAGCCCCTGCATTGCTCCCCTTCTCTCCCTCCGGGGCCCACAGAGCCCCTCCATAGGAAGGATAGCAAAGACGCAGAACAAGTGGGCTGGGCCCTTCCCAGGAACTGGCTACCTCCTCGATCACCCTGACCCAGTAACCCAGGCCTCCTTTCCCATCCCCATCCTGCCCTCTTAGGCAATTTTGGTCTCCAACTCTACTTCTAATACAGCAGTACAGAAACGACCCCCAAATAGTCAATGCAATCATACTACCAGGCACACCAAGAAGCCAGGCAAAAGCCCATGAACCAGACCCTCCTTGATCAGGGAGCCCACAGGAAGTGAGAAGTGAGAAGTCCTGAAGTGAGAAGCCAACCCCCAACAGAAGCCCGCAAGCCAGTCATGAGACCTGTTTCCGAGTCCGGGTCTTCCCAGTTCTGAGCTTGATGTAGCGCGCAATCAGTTCATTCCGACCTGAAGAGTCAACGCCAAAGAGGGTTAGATGGTCAGCGGAACTTCCCTATGAGGAGATCACCTAAGAAAAGACTGGCATCTCCCAAGGGCTGCAGCCACCCAGGCTCCCAGTCTCCTCGGGTTTATGGGGCCAGATCCCTGTGGGCAAACCCTACCCCTGCCCACATACTAGCTCTGCAACCTTAGGCAAACTACTTAACCTTCCTGTGCCTCAGTTTCCTCATCTGTGCAAATAGTGAAGCTAGCTCCTAGCCCAGACAGCATTTAGGGCACCATCCAGGTGGGTATCATTACTATACAGTGGGGGTGAGGCCAAGAGAGGGGTGAGCTCACCATACATCTTGCCTTCATCAGACAGGATGATTTTCCGGCGGCCGCAGGGCGGGTAGATGGCCAGTGCCTCCTGGAAGCTCTGCTCGATGTCGGGGCTCCAGACACCCTCTGCATCTGGGCCGCCATCGCCCCCGGCCCCCTCGCTGCCACCCGTGCCCTCCTCACTGCCTTCCTCGCTGCCAGTCCAGCCGCTGCCATCCTCCAGGGGGACCCCAGCCCGGGGTTCCCCCATCTGGGCCTGGAGGAACACAGAGCTCAGCAAGCTTCCCTGACCCACCGAGAGGGACCGGGCCCGGACCCCCGGGTCTGAGGGAGGAGGGCTAGGCTAGGACCTGAGTCTGAGGGAGGAGGACAGGGGCCCAAGGGAGAGGGCTGGGCCTGGGTTTCTGCAGTAGTTTGGGAGGTTGTCCTCCTCTCAGTTTACAGAGGAGTTTGCACTGTGATGAAGCCTAAATACTCCCAAGTAATGCCTAGGGCCATGAGGGCTGAAACTTTGAGTGTGGGTTACCAGTTCAAAGAACACAGGAGTCAGTTAGTTGCTAGGAAGCAGAGTGTGGGTGAAAGCTCCCAGTCCCACCCCTAGAACAGGTGTTAGGAAGCCAGCAGCAGCTGCTAGAAAAGGAGGAGGGGCACAGGCCCAAGATGGACTGAGTGGAGACCCAGAGAGGGGACAGAGACCAGAGAGGGGGATGGGGACAGAAACGGGAGGGGCTGCGTTTGGGGGGCAAGAATCCAGACGGAGGGAGAAGGGAGCTCGAGGGGCGGGAGCAGAGATCCAGTGAGATAGGAGCAGAGATTCAGGGCAGAAACTGATGCAGAGACCTGGAAAGAGCCACAGAACCACAGGCTGGGGGAAAGGGGCGCCCACAGAACCACAAGCTGGGGGAAGAGGCGCCCACAGAACCACAGGCTGGGGGACAGGGGCGCCCACAGAACCACAGGTTGGGGGACAGGGGCTCGGGGCCATCTGGAGAGCCAGAACAAAGGGCCCAGGCGTCCCCTCCCCCAGCTTCCCACAACCCCTGTCGGGGGCGGGGCTGCCGGCCATGGCACCTCCCCTCCAGCTCGGCCCCGCCCCGCCCCTCCCCCTACGCCGTGGGCTCGATCCAAGCCAAGTTCCCTGTGACTTTCCGGAGGCCGGGAACAGGGAAAACTTTTTCCAATACAGTCCAATCCTGCCTCCCTGGAGGCTCCATGTCTTCCGTAGCTTTTCCAGGACCTCAGAGTCCAGATCCCCATGCCCCTCTTTCCTCGGACCCCGGACCCCGGGTGGAAGCAGACAAAGACCCGAGGCCCAGCCCAGTGGCGCTAGCTCTCAGGAGCCCCCCCCCAGCCAAAACCGCAAGCCGGCCGTCCCCCATGTGGCCAGACAAAGAGACGTAGGCTCCGGGTAGGAAAGATCCCTCCTGATTTCCCGCCCCAGGCCTCAAACCTCGAAGGGACCAAAAAGCAGATATCAGACGCTCCGCAGCCCTCCCTCGGCCACCCGGGGGGCTCCCCGCGTCCCTGAGGGGGGCCGGACGCCCACAAATCACACCCTCACACCACCTCGATCAGAAACACACACGGGGTCTCTCTTGTGGCAAAGTGGCACCAGGACTCTGCAAGCCGCTACTGGCGGGGTCCCAGCCCCCGGCCACCCCGCGCCCGTATCCCGAGAGTCCGGGGCGCCCCAACTCCGCCAAAGTTCTCTGTGCGCCCGCGCGCGCGCAAACTCTAGCCCCGGGCCGAGGGGGTGCGGGCCGAGCCCAGAGGGTCCCCAAACGCAACCTCACCTCATCCCGCGTAACTTCCCACCCCAACTCACACACCCCAGAGCAGAATCCCGACTCCCGCCGGCGCCTTCCTACCTCCCGGCCTGGGCCTGGGGAGCCGCGGGCGGGCGGGGCGCGGCGGCGGAGAAAGTTGCCGGGAGCTTTGTTTGGGAAAAGTGGGAGGGACCGAGGGGGGGCGGGCCCCGGCGGCCAGCGGAGGGGACGGGATCCTCAGTGACAGTTTGGGGGAGGATTTTCGCATTGGGAGTGAAGTCTAACTGGGGACTAGGAGGAACTCAGGACTTGGATGCTCGGGTCCCTAGGAGATGAAGAGGGGGGAGAGTTGGGACTGAGGTAGGAGGGTCTGAGGGAGGAGGCTAGGGGACCAGGACTCTTGGGTCTGAGGAAGGAGGCCGAGGTCTGCACCTCTGGCTGCCCTGTAGGATGTCCGCGTATTGAAGATCGGTAATTATATAAACATGGAAGACTCTTTACTGTCAGCCCCAAGTATGTTTTTGAAGATTAGACAATTGGCATGGGTCCAATTGACTCCTATGCAACATGGCTTCCTTGTGAGCTCACCAGGTTAAGAATTGTAGGCAAAAATCTCCAGAAGTTGTGGAGGTCACCAGAGGTGCCAGGTCCTGCTCACTCGCAGTGATGGCCTGGAGGCTGTGGTTGACCCAGGACCTGACAGAGCCTCAGCCTGAGGAAGGAGGGGTTAAGGCCTTGACTCCTGGTTCCTTAAAAATGGAGGACTAGGGCTGGGATTTAGCTCAGTGGGTCCGGTTTCACCGCCTGCCTCACAAATGCAAGGTCCTGAGTGGTGGCCCAGCCCTGCAATCCCAGTTCTGGAGAGGCTGAAGCATGAGGATCACCATGAGTTCTAGGCCAGCCTGGACTACATAGCTAGACCCATTCTCAAAAAATCAACAAAAAGGACTGAACTCCCGCCACCAGGGGCTATCAACTGGATTTTGAGGAAAGGGAGCCTGGAGCCTTGGACGATGAAGCTTCTGGAGAAAGTAGGGGTTTTTGTTTGCTGTTTGTTTCCAGTACTGAGGATCGAACCCAGGACCTGCACTTGCCAGCCGAAATCAAGGTTCTTTTTTTTTTTTTCTTTTGGTACCAGGGATCGAACTTGGGTCCTTGAGCTTGTGCAGCAGGCGGCGAAACCACTGGGCTAAATCCCCGGCCCGAAATCAGGGTGCTTAAGGGGAACTGGAACAGGAAAATGAGAAGGGACATAGAGAAAGGCTCAGGGGTGGATATAAAATTGAAGGAGCCTGGGATGGTGCTGCACTCCTGTAATCCCAGCACTCTGAGAGGCTGAGGCAGAGGATGTCAGGTTTGAGCTCAGCCTGGACAATTTAGCAATTTGGCGACAGACTATCTGAAAAAATAAAAAAGGGCTGGGAATATAGATCAGTGTGAAGGCCCTGGTCTCAATCTCCAGTGCAAAAGAAGAAAATAAAAACTCTCAAAAGTAAGCGACTAGAATGACTGGATTCTGGCGTTTAAGGAGCACAAGGAGGCTAGGAATGAAACGGGGTGGGGCTGGGACACAGGCGTGACCCAAATTTAGGGGCACGTTCTAAAGAGAGGGTTGTGGCCTTAAATCAAGGAAGGTGGCTTTCTTCGATCTGCCTAGGACTAGGACTAGAGGGCCAGATCAAAGCACACAGGCAATAGTGTACTGGGTCTCCAAGGCTGAGGTTATCCAGAAGGGGAGTGGTCAGATGAAGGAGGCGTGGCCAAGGAAGAAAGCTGGGCTGCGATTTGTGTTTAAGAAAGGATGGGGTAAGGATCAAATTTTCAGGGGGCGTGGCTATGAAACAGGCCCAGACTCCTGGGTGAGGTCAGCAGGCCGGCTAGGTCAGACAATGGGGGCGTGGCCGCCTCTAACGCTCCAGGAGTCCCGCGTGGGCTGGAGACGGAACTGTTTGGACGGTAACAGTCCTTGGACTGCCGGAGTCGGGGAGTCCGGTGACTGGACTGCGGTCTAACGTAAGGCCGGGGCTCGGAAGGGACGGGGCGTGGGCAAAGGTGAGGCCTGAGATCGGTGTGTGAAGCTGAATCCAAAGAGATTTGGGAAGAGGGCGGCCTAAACTGGATGGAAGGGGCGGGAATGGAAGAAAGGTGGCATGGATGCGGTGTGGGGAGTTGCGCGGCCCGGGGCCGAGCCTGGGCCAGGGGCAGTACGGAGGTGTCCTACGGGAGACGTGTGGCCCCTGTGGGGCGAGGGCCCTGACCCCCCTCCTCGGCACAGCCTTCAGCCGCCGGCCATGTGGCATCCGCTGGTCCTGCTGCTGCTGCTGCTCCCCTGCGCCCTGCTGCCCGCTTCGTCCGCGGCCCCCATTGGCGACGGTGACACCCAAGAGAGCTCTTCGGATTTCCTAGGCCTCCAGGGCCTTCTCCAAGGCTTCGGGCGACTCTTCCTGAAAGTAAGCGTTGGCAGGGAAGGAAGAGGCAGAAAGAGAGAGAGACAGGGTAGCAGAAGATAGGAAGAGGCAAGGAGGACAGATGAGGAGAGGAGGGATGGAGACACAGAGACTCAGGGACAGATGAGAGACAGGGAGTGAGGCTGGGGGACTGAGAACAGAGGCAGGACAGAAAAGCCTTGGGAATGAGAGGGACTTGAGGTAGGCCCAGGACATCCCCAGGAGATAAGGTCCAGTAGCTCACTGGTCTCCCCTCCTGCCCTAGGATGACCTGCTGCGGGGTCTGGACAGCATCTTCTCCTTCCTTATGGACTCCCGGGGCCTCCCCAGAGATTTCCACCAAGAGCAGGACCAGAAGCAGCGGGTGGGGAACAAGACCCTCTCCAGCCACCTCCAGATTGACAAGGTGCCTCCTCAGGGAAACCTGGCCTGCAGTCTCCCCAGCACCCTTCATGCTGCGGTACCCATCCAGAAGGAGAGTTCAGCAGCAAGATAGACTTGTTCTTTCTTGCTTGGTCCTCACAGGTGACTGACAACAAGACAGGAGAGGTGCTCATCTCTGAGAAGGTGGTGGCCTCCATGGAGCCAGAGGAAAGCCTGGAAGGTGACCAGGTTAGGACATGGGCGGACCAAGGGACCCAGGCCCCAACATTTGTGTCATTTAGGAGGAGGGGAGAGGAACTGAGTCTCCCACTCTCTCTGGGTGCAACTTCCTTTTTCTAGGCCCCAGTTTTGTCCCCTGTCAGAAGGGACAAACCAGCTCAGAGATGAGGTTCACAACCTCAGCATATATCCATCCTCAACTGTGAGTAAAGCACAGAGGGTTTTGTGAGCTCCAAGGGTTTTGTAGACTAAGTGCTTTTAATTGCAAGGGCTTTGTAAGTTCCACCCCTATAAACCTCAAAATATGTTTTTATTCAAAGTACATGTTCTCCCCCAGCACTTAAAAAACCTACCCCAAAGTGTTTGTTAAACTTCTCCCTTGGAAACTTCAAAATGTGTGCTTTAACCCTGGACTTTCAAACTGACATATATCCCCAGTCTTTTTAATTTCTTTTTTTTTAATTTTCAGACAAAATCTTGCTAAGCTTGCCAGGCTGGGCTCAAACTTGCAATCCTCCTGCCTCAGCCTCCCAGAGTGCTGGGATTATAATTGTGTGCCACCACACCAAAAACGAAAATGTATTTTTTCATCAGGTGAGGTAGCATAGACCTGTAGTTCCAGGATTCAGGAGGCTGAGGAAGGAGGATTGCTGTGAATTCAAGGCCAGCCTGGGCTACATAGCAAGACATAAATCAAAAAAACAAAAACAGACAAGATAAATATATATATTACTTTTATTTCTGAACTGTATGACAGAAAATTGCTGACATCAAGATATTTCACCCCTAATTACTTCCACACAATCTTCTAAGAATAAAATTTCCTCCCTCGTGACCTAAGTATCATTTTTATGGCCAAGAATATTAATGTTCTTATCAGACTTATCTCTGTATTACTTTACTCGGGCTGCTGTAACAAAAGACCACCAATTTGGTGGCTTTAATGATAGAAATGTATCATCTGTCTAGAGCTTAAGCATTCAAGATCAAGGTGTCAGCAAGTCACGGTTCCTTTTTTTTTTTTTCAGTACTGGGGACTGAATTTGTATGTTTATTATACAGAGCTACAACCCCCACCCATTTATTTATTTTTTATTTTGAGCCAGGGGCTCACTAAGTTGCCCAAACTGGTCTGGAATTTGCAGTCCTCCTGCTTCAGCCTCCCAGAGTGCTGAGATCATAGGTGTGCGCCTCCACGCCCAGCTTGAAATGGCTCCTTCTGAGGGCTGTGAGGGAGAATCTCTTCGCTGCCTCTCCCGTGGCTTCTGGACTTTTGCTGGCTATCTTTGGCATCCCTTGGCTTGTCAGTGCCTCTCCCCAGTCTCTGCCTGTGCCTTTGCCCAGCGTCCTCCCTATGTTTTTCTGTGACCAAACTTTCTGTCTCAATGAGGACACCGGTTAGATTAGGACCCAAGGGAAGATTTCATCCCAAGTAATGAAATCTGCAATAACACAAATAAGGTCACATCCTAAGGTCTCCAACAAATTTGGAGAGGGTAACAGTCTATCCCACAGAGCTTCTCAGACCCCAGTTCGTTAAGTGCAGATGCTGGGCAGAGCAGGGGACGCACTCGTTTTTGTGCCTTGCACTTTCAGTAGTGAGGACTAGAAGGACATTCAGTCCACCATCAAATTTCCTCACTTAAAGCTGTCCTTGAAAGCTGGTTTCATTTTTGATCCAGGATTCAGTCAAAGATCCCACATTGTATTTATGGTCATGAGTCTCTGGTAAACCCAAGAGCTTTTAATCCCAAATCCTTTTGTACATTTCAAACTGCCTGCTAAACCTCAGAGAGTGTTTTATCCTAAAGTGCTTTGTAATCCAACAGGCATTATAAACCCTAAAGTTCTCTGTTTACCTCCCTTTTGAGACCCCCCAAATGTATTTTCAATCCCAAAGTATTCTATAAATCTCAGTGTCTTTAATTCTGAAGTATTTGCAAACAGTGCTTTGTAAACCTCAAAGAGCTTTTTAACCCCCAAAGCACCCCATCAGCTGTAAAGTGGGGTGAGCTGAGTGCTGGGTGTGCTCTATGGAGTGTGAGCACATCTCCTTGCACCTCATCCTCCCCAGGTTCCCAAGGAGGAGAAGGAAGCCCCAGTGCCCGCCAGAAACGCTATGGGCAGCTTCCATCTGGAAGCCCACCACCCAGCCTTCTGGATCATTAAGGTGCCTCGGAGGAAGTCCCACCAGGATGCTCAAGAGGACGGTGGCTGGCTAAGGGAGAAGAAACACCGCCTGCAGGCCATCAGGGATGGGCTCCGAGAGGGCACCCACAAAGGTGTCCTTGAACATGGGACCCAGGACTCCTCCTACTCCAGGCTGCCTACCCGAAAGACCCACTTCCTATACATCCTCAGGCCCTCCCACCAGCTATAGAGGTGGGGATGCCCAGCATAGACTCCCCAGGCCCCACCCCCAGAACCACATGGAAATAAAGAGTTCTTACACCTAGCAGCACTGTGTTTTCGGTATCTGTCCCCAGGCCACATAGGTCCCCCCAACCCCAGCCCTAAGCATGAGGGCTGGCTGTCATAGCTTTTGCCTAAGTCTCCAGGTTTGGTTTTCTCATGCAAACAGGGTCTGCCTCCTGACTGAGCCACTCAGTCCCCAAGCCTGTCACCTCCAGCCCTGTCTGTCCTCTCAGCCCCCAGCTTTTTCACCCCAGTCCTGTCCATCTGCTCAGCCCCTGTATTAGCCTCTTGTAGATACCATAACAAGTAACCACTGATTCAGTGACACAAAGCAACACAAATGTTCTGTAAGTCAAAAGTCCGAGGTGGCTTAGTGGGCCCTTGGTCTGGGTTTCACAAGGCCAGAATCAAGGTGTCCACCATCTAGGATCTTTTTTTTTTTGGTACCGGGAATCAAACTCGGGTCCTTGTGCTTGCGCAGCAGGTGGTGAAACCACTGAGCTAAATCCCCGGCCCTCTAGGATCTTCTTGGGGGGCCCTGGATAGAAGCTGCTTCCCACTTGGGTTTCTGGCAGAATCCAGATCCTTAGGCTTCTGGTCTGTGTCCTCGCTGTCAGCTGTGACCTCATGTCAGCTGCGTGTCACCATCTTTCACTCCTGGATGCCTCCTGGTTCCAGTGCATGGACCTGGATCTCAGAGCCAGCAATCTAGTCTCACACTTGGCATCTCTCTTACCTCCCCTCCTTCACCCTTATCTCTCTATGACTTCCTCTTCTCTACCAGAGGGAGACGGTTCCTCTGCTTTGTTTGCTTTTGCAGTGCCTGGAATGGAACCCAGGGCTTCACACTTGTTAGACAAAGTCCTCCACTGCTGCGCTACACCCACAGCCCACAGTTCTCTGCTTCTCAAAGGCTAACAAGATTGGGTTGGGCTACCTGCACAGCATATGCCCGGCACTGCTGAGCAGGCAACACCTTTGGAGAACCATTATCCTGCATGCCTCAGGTCCAGCCCTGTGTCTCACCTCCTCAGCCACCTGTCTTTGCTCATCTTTATCATCTCACTCACTGACTCTCACTTTGCATACTACCTCTATGTCTGACTTGCTGTTTGTCATTCCCTTGTCTGTCCCTCCATGCCTGGTAGGCTTCAGATGTGGTCCAAGTGTTAGAAGCTTGGTCCCCAAAGTAGTGGCATTAATTGATGGGATTTTTTTTTTTTTGTACCGGGGATCGAACTCGGGACCTTGCGCTTTCAAGGCAGGCAGCAGAACCACTGAGCTAAATCCCCGGCCCAATTGATGGGATCTTAAAGAGATGGGGCCTAGTGGAAGATGACTAGGTCATTGAGGTGCTAGCCCTGGAAGAGATTAAGTAGTTCTGGTGAACCCCATTAGCTCTTCACATGGTGCACACCTATAATCCCAGCACTTGGGAGCTGAGGCAGAAGGATCGCTGCAAGTTGGAAACCAGCCTTGGACACATAGTGAGTTCAAGGCCATCCTGAACTATATAGTGAGACCCTGTTAAAAACAAAACAAAAGAAACCAGAGAGAGTGAGTTGTTATAAAAGAGTGAGCCTGGCCCCTTCTTACTCCCCAGCTTCCTGTCTCTTCATGTGACATCTCCCACCATGATGTGGTGCAGTGAAAGACAGTTCTCACTAGAACCAAAGCCGTGAAGTTTAGACTTTCAGCTTTCAAACCTGTGAGCTAAATAATCTTCTTTTCTTTAGTAAGTACCCAGCACAGGTACAGTGTTAGAGCAGTGGAAAGTGGATTAATACAATACCTATCACCTCAGGCTCCATCTCTGCCAGCCCCAATGCCTCAGCCAGACTTGGAAGCCCTCAGGCCCTATCTCTGGTGGCTACCCACTTTGTCACTCCCAGAGCATCTCCCATCCTCTCTGAGATTCCTCCTTCATGACACATCGTAGAGATGGCAGATCTAGCTCTTTCCAGCACAGAGCCCCAGACATAGTGTTGTGGTTTGTATCTAGGTGTCTCCCCAAAGACTCTAGCAATCAGAGGTGAGTTTTGGGGGAATTGATTGGCTATGGAAGCAGTACTGGGGGCGGGTCCTGTCAGAGGAGACAGGTCACTGGGGGCATGGCCTGAAAGGGTTTCTCTCTCTGCCCTGGGCTCCACCCTTTGCTCTCTGCTTTCCCGAAGCCATGCTGTGAGCAGCTGTCCTCTATGGGCTCCTCCGCCATGCCATCCTGCCTTGGAACCAGATGACTATTGACTGAAACTTCAGTCAAAAGGAACCTCTCCTTTAAGTTGTGGGTGTCAGGTATTGTGTCTCAGGGACAAAAGTGACTAAGACACATGGTGTAGGCTTTCTCCCTTGTAGCCCAGGCTCAGAGATGGAATACCTCAAAGACAGACTGACACACCCAGGAACTCAGCAGTCGTGTCAATAAAAGCAAAAGTTTTTCTTTTGGAAAAAATGTAGGACTTTATTAGCAACTGGTATCCACTTTACATTATAATGTGGGGGGGGGCAAGAGTAGGGAGGCAGAAGCCTTTCAGTGCCCAGGACTGTGGAAGGCATCGCAAGGCTAATCAGACCAACTAGAGAGGAGGGCAACACAGCAGGACGAGGGATCCCCCCCCAAATAAAAGACCCGGTGAAAAACAGATAATCAGGCCCGGGATTTAGCTCAGTGGTTTCGCCACCTGTTGCGCAAGCGCAAAGACCTGAGTTCGATCCCTGGTACCAAAAATAAAAAATTTTTAAAAATTGAGAAAATAAAATGAATAGACATTTCACAGAAGAAGTACAAATGGCCAATAAAAACATGAAGAAATGTTCAACCTCTCTGGCCATTACAGAAAGACAAATTAAATCAACACTGAGATTCCATCTTATCCCAGAAAGAATGATCATCATCAAGAAATCAAATAACAAATGCTGGCAAGGCTGGGGATGGGGGGAAGGAACCCTTCTATGTTGTTAGTGGAAATGTAAACTAGTACAACCACTATGGAAGTTGGTATGAAGATGCCGCAAAAAAACTAAAACTAGAAATTCCATTTGATCCAGTTATACCCCTTCTAGATATCTTTCTAAACGAGTAAAGTCATCATACTACAGTGATCCATGCATACACATGTCTATAGCAGCACAATGCATAATAGCTAAATCTTGGAAGCAGCCTATATGTTCATCAACAGGTATTCATAAAGAAAATGTAGTGGGGCTGGGGATTTAGCTCAGTGGCACCAGGCCTGCCTCAAAAGCTCGAGGTCCTGAGTTCTATCCCCTCTACCAAAAAAGAAAAAGAAAGAAAGAAAGAACAATAATGAAAATGTAGTTTTTACATACAATGGAGTACTATTCTGGAATAAAGATGGATAAACTTGGGCAGGGGATTTAGCTCAGTGGTTTCGCTGCCTGCTGTGCAAGCGCAAGGACCAGAGTTCGACCCCCGGTACCAAAAATAAAAATAAAAAATAATAAGAAAAAAAAAGATGGATAAACTTGACTCATTTGTATGAAGAAAATGGATGCACCCTGAGATCATAATATTAAGGGAAATAAATTGGACACACAAGTTTAAGTATCACGTGGATTCTTTTATATGAGAAACCCAAATTACAAGTAAAGAGAAAAATAAAGATAGGTAACAGGAAGTAGGGAGATGGCTCTTTCTCAAAGGGGAAGAGGATTAAGACATGGAGAGAAGGGAGAGGGAGGGAAGGGAAGGGGGCAAAAAGGAATTAAGATGTGCTATGTACATGTAGCAGCTCCACACAAGGAACGTAAGCATTACACACTGCAAACATGCACTAATCAAACATGCACTAATAAAAAGAAATTTTAAAAGAATGAGGGGTTGGATGTCACCACCTCTTTCACCTCAGTTTCTCAAAGAAACTCCCAGAATATCCCACCAGCACTGTACCCCAGACTGATCCCAGCATCTTCCTCCCAGCAGCTTCACACTTCTGAGTAAGAGTACTAACATCTACTCCGTCAGCCAGGGCTGGTGCTCCCTGGTGGTACCTGGATTGTTTTTATTTATTTTTATTTGTTTGTGTGTTGTTGTTGGGGGTTTTTTGGCAGTACCGGGGATCAAACTCAGGACCTTGTGCTTGCAAGGCAGGCGCTGTGCTATTGAACTAAATCCCTGGCCCTGGATTGTTTTTAAATTAGAAGAAAGTGTTCATTCAAAATACAACTTCTACTAATCCACAAATACATATTGAGTCCCCAGCACTGTGCTAGGCTCTGAGTATTAAGCTGTGAGCACAACAAAGCCCCAGTCTCACAGAACTTAGCAGGGAAGAGTGACAAATACATACATATCAGGTGATGATGAATGCTGTGTGAGACAGAAGGTGATTTCAAGGGGACAAGATCTATTACAGATGGAGTGGTCAAAAGAGGCCACACTGACACATGAATAGAGACTGACACGAGCTAAAGGAGTAAGTTCTGTCCAGGGAACATCTGGAAAAAGATTTTCAGGCTGAAGGAACAGCAAATGCAAAGATACTGAGGTTGGAAATGTCTTGATTTGACTGGAAACAAACCAAAAAAGCCAGCTGGGGATGGTGGCACCAACCTGTAATCCTAGCACTCTGGGAGGCTGAGGCAGGAGGATCACAAGTTCCAGGGCACCCTAGGCAACTTAGTAACTTAGTAAGACCCTGTCTCAAAAATTTAAACAAGTGCCTGGGGATGTACCTCAGTGTGAAGGACCCAGGCTCAATCCCCATACCAAAAAAAAAAAAAAAAGGAGCATAGTTATTAATGAAAATAGATGGAAAATAAGTTTGAGACAGAAATAAGGCCGGAAATTCCCTTTTCTTTCTGACAGCCAGAAGGGGGTGTGCCCCAAGTGACAGCTGTCACACTCCTTTCCCGTCACTCACCATGCCTGGCTCCAGGGACTTCCTGACACCCCTGGGTTATTTTTCAGCTACTATTCTGGATGTCCAGATAGGAGCCACAGCTCAGCGGACAGCCGAAAGTCCCCTTTACTGCTTCTGCCACTCCACAAGCTGTTGACACCTCTGTGAGGAGTGACAGGAA